ACGAAATTCCCGCTTATCCTTGAAAGTGCAGTATATGCAAGCGTTTCCGCACAATACTCGTAGTGGTACTGGCGTAAAGTTCAGTGTTATACGTACGTCCACTGCGGAGTTACAATTGACTGGGCGCCGCTTTGGGTTACGGTAGCGTGGCGGTAATACTGAATTTAGCTTCTTGTGGATCCAGCAGTCCTTGCTCAAACTCATTACCACTGAAACTGCCACAGATCCCTGTCGAGCAAAGCCTTTTCCAGCATAGAATTGAGTTCTCCGAGTGTACAACTTTGTGCACACACTTTGAAAACATTGATGCTATCGGTTTCTTTTGTTGCAGACATATTGACGGAATAATACCCTCCCACAGAAGGGGCACAAGAGATTTTTGAGCGCAAGCAGCGCGCTGTACGAAATAATCTACCACTGACTGCGTTGAATGGTTCAATGACGGTTATTTTCTTGTGAAGTCCGTCCTTTTTGCAATCTGATCGTTGTCGTTCAAATGAATATTGCCGAGGAACTTCTCAAATTAAAGCATCGTCACGTATTTAGAACTGATTATTGTGTCACCGGAATCTTCTGACCTGCACCAATAATTACGCAGTCCCGGCTTTGTCGATTTCCTTTCAACTACCAGATTTCTCATACTATATTTGTTAGTTTCTTGGAACATATGATCTAAAATCCATCGGCAAAAGTGAATACCGCTCCAATGGGATAGATGCTGTCGTCGCTTCATCATTCCAGCCAGTCGTCATCCACAAAAGGGAAGTAGTTCATCTGCTTATCAACTGTTATCACTTTCTGTCACCCGCCAATAATGTTCCCGTCCCACACCCTATATCACCTCTCGGATCCAAGGTCCCACTGTTGCTGTAACCTGCGTTACGAATTTGATGACCCTCCTCTTCCGAGACCCCTTATCGGATCTTATCAACTGTTATCACTTTCTGTCACCCGCATAATATGCCCCCTATATCACTTCTTGGAACCAAGATGCGCCACGCTTAACTGCCGACGCGTGCTCCTGAATTTCATACGACAGTCCGGACCACACTACCACAACACACACACACCAAAACACACGCAAACTGACAGACATACTTGGTGAATTATATATAGTAGGATCCTCCTCGACTACAAATTTGCCTTCGACGCCTAGTTCAAGGTCCGAGGTGCCACCAGCACACACACACACACACACACACACACACACACACACACACACACACACACACACACGCAAACTGACAGACATACTTGGTGAATTATATATAGTAGGATCCTCCTCGACTACAAATTTGCCTTCGACGCCTAGTTCAAGGTCCGAGGTGCACCTAGTTTCAATGATTTTTCCAAACAAAGGGCCTACGCTCCTATCAGAGCCCGCAGGAATTCTTTTACGTGCGCGCTTACATCGTTTTCTACCCGACAAAACAGCTTCAAGTCCGTACTGCATTCTCAGCGACCAATAAATACATCAGACTGCTCCGCATTACAGATTACGCCCTCTATTTCTTACATTTTCAGATCTTTTCTGCAACAACGCAGAAAAGCCTTAAAAAGATCGCTTTCGCAAGTAACTACCACCAGCGCAAAGGGCGTACTCGAGGCAAATGAATGCTGCCTAAAAGGTAGTCATTCCTGCCTACTACCGTGAACACACACACTTATCCTACAACAATTACCACTGGCGCGCTTCGACGCTCACAGAAGGACAATGGTTGATCCGATGTTCAGCCCGCATTGGCACCAACACTTCTTTTGCCATCGCACGAGCTGACTACCATTATAATCAATCACTACCATAGATCGCTCTGACAATATCACTGGCGTTCATTCCACTATTGAATTGGTCACTGCGCGCAAATTATTATACCATCTATTCGTACAATAGGTGCCAAAACACTACGCACATTCACGGTTTGCAAAAGGGCCAACGCTCACGCTTATCGCTACTGCGAAGTACCGGCCCTGCGGAAGGAGAGATTAACGATATCCACGACCTTTTCCCAAAAGTAAGGATTGACAACTTGTGCCCCCTAACTTATAAAAGATACTCTCATCTAACCAATCTGAATATGCCTCATAACGTGCAAAGGTGTCGGCAGCTCACCTTAACCCCGAAATGGAAAACGCGGTTCAAGAATTCCTGCTAGCATTTCTCGGATTCTTAGCGCGCGAAGGTTCGCCAGACCTCATTTACAGCGATAATTCCTCTACGTTTTACGCTGGCGAACGCCTTGCCAATGTCATATACCCCTGTGGCATGGTACAGCGTCGCAGAATTAAGGGCCAAACATACAATTACGAGGCGTTTCGTAAAACCTCTGCTGCCTTCCAGAGGAGGGTCCTGACGCATGGTGCAACTGTTCAAAAGAACATTTCGGGAAGCGTTGGAAATTCCCTCTTTACTCTAGAGCAGTTCCGGGCAATGCGGCAGCGAGCGAAAACGTTCTCAATTCATGCCCGATTACTCCCTATTGAGAAAGCAATGTCATCGTTCATGCACTTCGGCCAATCAACTTCGTTTCACTCAATCTTCAATTCCCGACCTCAACTGGAACACAAGACGCCTCATTCATTTGTGGATATTGAAGCTAAGCGAAATAGTAGGCGAAACTTCAACGTTCGTAGATTAATTTTGGTAGGATTGATGGCATTCAGTAGTAGTATTAGTTGCATGCGCTTCGCATGAATTGACATTAAAACCCCATGCGACAGCAGTTGCCACAAAACTCGCACATACAGAAAGTCGGTATGACCCGTATTCACAAATGTCTCGCGGGAGACCAACAACAGGTGAGAAAGCGAGACTAATCATAAAGCCACTTACAGTGTGAAACACAAAAATTCGCGATTCTTTGTCTCGTTAACACCAGGAGTTTCCCATTCAAAGCAACCAGCGCGTATTTATTCGCGCCATGTGAGCACGGGTCAGGAAGCGGCCCTGTGCGCGCGAAACAACGATTTTGAATGACTCGCTCAAAATGCAATAGATGTCTGTATTCGCCGGCATGCAGCATTTTTGTTCATTCGATTGCGGCATTTTATGATTTACGGTTGTTTTGCCGTTTGACTCATTCGATTACGTATTATCTTCTTTTCGGACGTACTTCGGTCGAGGCGAATGTGGCAAGAAACGGCAAATGAATTGTAGGATACTCAACGGGTTCGCCGGGGGCGAAAATCGTTCATGCCGACTGACGCATACGCTAATACCTTTTTCCCTCCACCTGCCGTCACATAAGTAGTAAGCTCCGCATTCCCAGTTATCTCTTAGAAATCTCTAACGCCTGTTTGTATCGCAGTGTTAAGTGAGAATTTCAATAAGTCTCATTAGGTCATCCCATTCAAAGTGGCCGACACATATAGAGGAATGGCAGAAAAGCAAAGGGGATAGAGCGGCGGGCTAATATACCATTTGGAAGCTAGTACCATTTAAGCTATGTGTATCTGTGAAATTTGGCGAACCTAGCCTCTGAAGAAGTTCTCGAGAAATTGAAGAGAAGCCCGAGTGGTGAAAATCGGCGCCGGTTTTTCAAATCAGACGTCATAAAAGGAAAGTGCGCTGCTCAAATTTGACCTGCGCCGGACCATAGTTGTGTGTAAGGGTGTTCTCGAAATACACGGTGGAAGATCTGGTTCAGGAGCCCGTACAAGGAAGAAAGGAAAAAATTTGTTGTCGTGGGTGGTCCCATAATATTCATCCTGCACAAGAAAAACGGGTGGATGAAGTCAGGCACTGAATATCTGATCACAGAGCCTGGACCCTTGTCGAGCTTCCCCGCGAGTCTGACATCCCAGCTGCAACTGCTGCCCGAGTTATGTCCGATAAACTGAGGATGGTCAAGAGGGTGGCGCATGGGTACCCAATTTTCTTATAGAAGCACGAACGCAGTACCGATTCTATACCTCCAGCAGTAATGTTCTCAGCATGAGATGTCACTCACAACTGTGAAAACGCACCCCGGCCCTAGATGAAATATGGGTGGTCTCGGACCTCGAGTCGAAACTCACAATCGTCAATTTTCTATGAATGCAGATGAGAAGCCGCCCGAGTTCTACCATGAAGAGTTACGTTGGGCGCAAGTGGATGATCATCATAGCAAAGATTCCCACACTGTGGCTTTCAAGCGGCTCTATACAGAGGACAAATCCGTCACTGTCGGTGCATATTGCCTGTTCCTCGGCATTCAGATCGACAAATGGATTTTGGTAGCCACACACAACTACAAGAAGGCCACCGTTGCTCGTCATAGTACCAGACCCCGAGTAACTGTATTGTAGATCAGTGCTGGGACACAAACAATACTGAGACCTGAGTTCAATCGTCCCATTCGCCCGTCATAAAGCCTATGG